GAGCCCTGTGAGTGGGAGCAGGACAGCACTACCAGGAGATTGATTCACACGGCCCTCTTGCAGCGGGAGCCTCCTTCCTGTTTAATGTGATCACGGCTGATTCCCACTGCCACCAGCGGCCCTGGGAAGGCAAGGGAGAGCTCAAAACAGAGCTTTTCTCTCTATGGTTTTCTTCCTGACTGCCCAGAGGTTCTCAAAAAATGGAATTTTTTTTTCATCAAGCTGGAAATTTAGCCTTTTTCAGGCTCTGCAAATACAGGCTCTTTGTTCAAGGGACACTGTGTCTGTGGTTCCACCGCAGAGCTGGCAGGGAGCTCCGAGAAGGCAGGAGGCCCAGCTCCTGTTCCCCGGTGATCTGGGAGCTCGTGGGGTGCAGGTTTCGCTCTGACTGCAGCTGCAGCTTCATTAGTGCTCTGGAGGCAGATGTTGTCGGATGAACTGCAACTGTGGTAGGTTGTTCCCAGGGCTCAAGACCCTGTGGCACATCTCTGCTGGCTCCACGTGCTCTCCACGGAGTTAACCTCAAGCAGGAGCCATAGCAGCCGGCAACAATCAGGGCCACGCTCTCTGCCCTCTGCAGCAGCCTGAGGTGCTTCTCAAGGTGCTGAAGCATAGCCAAGAGCCCAGTAAATGTCTGGTAGATGAAACAAATGGGTCCGAGAGGCAATGACGCGTGGGAAGATGTCCTGGAGATGACGCAGGCTTTTCCTGGCATATTTGCACAGGGCCTGTGTTGGTGAACGTGGAGGTGTATGAGGGTTTTCCTCTACCTGTGGCTTACGAAATGATTCTGAGTTGCTATCAATAAAAACAGAGGCACAACTGAAAAAATGGAAATAAAGTGTGTGTAAATGGGGAGGGGAAGAGGGGGTGAAGGGAGGGCAGGGACAAGGAGAAAAAATGAGAATCAAGACCTATTACATAAAGGTACAGAATCCCAATGATGAATGTAACCGTATTGTATACCTAGATTGTACCAATAAACTCAATAAAAAGAAAAAAAAAACAGAGGCACAATTAGATGTTTTGAATGCACATACATACTCATTGTAGAGAAAAACACAGAAGCCAAAAATGAAAAGACAAGTAAATGAGAAAGAAAATGGTATTGAGAATTTTAATTATTTATTTTACTAGTGCATGTGTACAGTACACAATGATCACAGGCCTCACGGACATCACACATCTTGATTCTTTTTTTAATCCTCTTCCCTCTTCTCCCCACTCCCCATCTCTTATCCCCCTTCGTATATGCAAAAGGTCTGGCTTGCTATTTCCTATTATCGATCTTTTTATTTTGCTCTGTATTTACATTTGGGTTTCCTCATATAAGAGAAAACCAAGAACCCTGAACAAGGGCACTCTGAGTTTCCCACCAATGGTCGGGGAGATGGGAACAGGCCCTGGGCTTGAGGACAGCATGGCCTTCAGGTCCAAGCCATCAGTCAGGCCACGGATAACAACTTTCCATCACCCCCAGAGTGACGGTGACAAGAGCAGGTGTCATCGACCACAGCTGTATCCTGGTCCCAGCAGGTTGTGCAATATTTGAAGCAGAAAATGGTCTGTTGTGCTCAAATATTTTAATGTCACAGATTATTGATTACTCTGCAAAGCTGGCAGCCAAAATTCCATGGATGTTGGTCCCCCAGTGAGAGCTCTCAGGCCCACATCAGCCTTTGCCCTAACATCACCCATTACTGCTGACCCCACAAAGCTGCTCTTCACCAACCTGACCTTCGGCTGCCCAAATGCAGGTCACTACCGGCCAGAAAAGCCAGAGGAAGGGCAGGGTTGGCCACCAATAAGGGAGAGCATTTTAAAAGCAGGCTGGGAGCTTTGCTTCACTGCCTGTCTCTTCCTCTACTACATGGATCTTTCAACTATGGCTCAGGGTGTGGAAGACAAGCCCACCAGCCCCTGGCAGGAATATACCCTGCTACCATCAGCACAGCCAAGGTGAATATCAGTCTACTGACCATTAATCAGTTAAAAGTTCTCTTCAACGTCTCATCAGCCACTCGGTGTTTGCCAAAGGCAAATACTGAGCTGTGGACACAGCGGTGGTTAAGCAGTGGATCTGCAGTGTGGACGAGCATACAAAGATCCCCCAGTCTCGCAGTCTTCTACCTCTGTGTGCATGACCACCAAGCCTTCTGTGTGGCATGTTCCTCAGGGACCTGCTGTGCATCCCAGCCACCACACCAGGCCTGTGTCCTGGGGGGTCTTACAATCCAGCAGACCAGCCCCACACAAGCACCACACAGGCACCACCCTCACACTGCCACCCCTCAGCTCAGAAGGGCAGGGGCACAGCTCACTACAAAGAAACAATGTGAACACCAGAAAGCCACAGGGACAGGTGTGAGCTTCGGCTCTGTCAGGCACTGCGTAACCTCCAGGATGTGTCCCGGAACTTGGGCAGAAGTAGAAGGATGAAGCGAATTCAAGACCAGTTCCTCAGTACCTGTCACCTCTGTAGGGGTGGCCTGAGCTGCCAGGCTCTACCAGACCCCAGCTACCCTCAGAGAGCCCTGCCCATTTCCCCTGGGTGGGCCTGAAAAGGCAGGAGGGCAGAGGTGACCCTGGTCACAAGGTGCCTTCGCCAACTCCTGGAGTAGATCTGTTACCTCCTGTCCCCTGTGCTGCTCCAAATGGACTTCTCTCCATTGCTTGGGTACAGCAGCTCCCTTGAGCACTTTGACCACACCCACCTCCCCCACTCAGCACAGCTGAGCTGGAAACCACCTGCGAACCTGCACCTAGCCCTGGCTGTGGTCCAAAATGGAGGCTCCACAGACTTGGGTTAATGTATCAATGAGCTACGCTCTGGGCTAGGAGAGAAAAGAACCCAGCCTGTCACCATGTCATGATGGGAAAGCGAAGAATGCTTTTTTAAAAAATAAGTTATGAGATCTCTGGTAATATTTCCACCCTCAGCATAAAATTTAAGCTGAGCTGAGGTCTGTTGAATCATATCTAGATGTCCCCCAAAGCCTCGTGCACTCATAGATGGAGTTTTTGAGAGGTGACTGGATCTTGGGAGCATGAGTGGACTTCTTTGATGAGTTCACAGCTAAATGGGATGTTGGCAAGCGGAGCCCGGTTGGAGAAGGCAGCCACTAGGGGGCGTGGCCTGGGTCTACCATGAGCTCTTTCTCCTCTTCAGGACACTCTGTCAGCCATCCTGCCTTGGAGCCAGCTGCCTATGGACTGAAACCTCTACAAACTGAACCAAAATAAAACTCTCCTCACAATTGTGTTTCCTACTGTTATCTCAGCAACAAAAAATGACTAAGACAAGGGCTAAAGTTGGAAAACAGATGAGCCATGCAAAATGGGAAGTGAGGAGACAGGAACAGGTCTTCAAGCAGGGGGACAGATGTGGAAGGAGCTTGGCAGACATGTGAGGCCCAAGTAAAGCAGTGTGCACAGCAGTGGGGAGCACTGGAGTCAGCTGGGACTGGAAGGAGCTGGTCAGTGGTGGGCAAACTCCATGCCCCATCGACGTGTGTTCATCAAGTGCCCACCACATGCACTGGGCTGGACCAAAAGGTCACAGGCAGGCTGCATGCAGTACAGGGCTATACAAGGGCCCCTGCTGTCACTGGAAGCTGTGGGCAGGATGAGCCAGAGAAGGGGGAGCAGCGTGGAAGAACAGGAGCCACCCCTAATTAGAAGTGTGGGGAGAGAGTGTGTGTGTCAAGGAGGTGCTGATGGGGCCCGAGCAACTGAGGACTGCAAGCCCCATTCCCACTCGGCTGGAGTAGGGGGGCCACAGAACATGTCTGCAAAAAAAGACCCAGAGTCCTCTGGGGCATTAACCAGGATGGCCTGTATTCCCACGATGGAAAACTGGTTGTGGAGAGCAAACCCCAGCTTGAGAGAACTCAGACCCCTAAGCCACCCTTGCCAAGATGCTGGTCTCCGTGAAAACAGGATGGGTTGGGCGTGGGACAGAGCACCATGCAGGCTTTTAACAGCTGGCAGCAATTATACTAATTTCCTTCCCCGACAGTCACACATATGTCGTTTCCCTTCAGTGTCCGTCATAACAAGTAACGTGGTGAGAGGCAGAGGGCTGGGGGGAGGCCACGAAGGTGAGTGTGCAAGTGTGTGCGCAGGCACAGTGCCTGTGTGTAGACACACTGAGCTGCCATCACTGCTTAAAGCCGAATCCCTCAAGCAGCCTGTCAGGGGCTCCCCCTCCTCACCTACTACCGGAGGGAGAAGCTGGCGGATCCTCACCTCTGCACCTCACTACAGGTCTGGCTTGAGGGGGCCTTTCCCGCCGGCACAGCAGATTCACGCTGTAGAACAGGAATGCAAATCACACCTCTGCTCAGAATCATACACTTCTCAGCCCTAATGCTTCTGACAAAGCCGCCGAATTTAAACGTTCTCTCCCTAAAACTTAAAAAAAAAAAAAAAAA